AAAAAACTGCATCGATGAGTGCAATTAGACCAAATATTGCCTATTACATTATTAAAAGATCTTACACTATATATCAAAATGTCGTAGATCCTATAATGTCGAATATATGAAAACGATCATCAGTACCGTTCTCAGAAAAATAATATACAATGTTAGTAATTTTATTGCATGTATAGGTAGCCCGGACGTTACTCTACAAGATCATGCAAGTCCCAGCTCTCCAGCTATGGTCGTTCGAACAGGGCTTGCTTTCCCCAAGTACGTGTCTATCTCCGAGTAGACATCTCTGGGAACCTGGAAATGCCATGGAATGTAGGTAATCGACATGAAAATAACTTCGCCAGAGGCATTTTTGTGAAAAACCGGTTTTTCGCCTATTACCAGCTAAAATTAAAATCCGTATATATCTCGCTCAAATCTCATGCTGAATCTAGGAAATTTTTAGGGAAGACTTAAAAGGCACCATATATTGTTGATCAAGCCGAAAAAGTGATCCAGCAGAACACTAAGGCTTTGGGGTTTTTCAGAAGGTTTCTGGACAACCTGAAACGAATGCCCAGCTGAAATTCACCTTTTCCGTCTTTGATTAAGATTTATGAGCTGTCCTGAGCGTTTCCTGAAAATTTCCTTGATTCAGCATGAGATTTGTGCGAGATATAAGGATTTTAATTTTAGCTGGTAATAGGCGAAAAACCGGCTTTTCACAAAAATGTCTCTGACGAAGTTATTTTCATCCCTACACAAAAATAAATGTTGCCACTATGCTCAGCGTAGTCGATCACCTATATTCCATGGCATTTCCAGGTTCCCAGGGATGTCTACTCGGAGATAGACACGTGCTCGGGGAAAGCAAGCCCTGTCCGAACAACCATAGCTGGAGAGCTGGGACTTGCATAATCTTGTAGAGCAACGTCCGAACTACCTATACCTGTAATAAAATTACTAACATTGTATATTAGTTTTCTGAGAACAGTACTGATGATCGTTTTTTCATATATTCGGCATTATAGGACCTGTGACACTTTGATATATAGTGTAATATCTTGTAATAATGTAATAGGCAATATTTGGTCTAATTGCACTCATCGATACAGTTTTTCACGGGCTTCAATTTTGTATAAAATACTTAGTGAAATCATTTGACCTTAAGATCGAACGAGGGGGGTGTAAAGGTTTTGCAACACCCTGTACATGGGCGAAATTAGAGAAGTCTGAAATTGAAGCTGTTTTAGATAACAAACAAAATGTTTCTAAAAGTTGAAAAAACTGTTTGCATAGTTTCTATGACAATTAGAGAGCGTGTTTACAAATAAAACTGCTCTGTACTGTTCCTTCTAAATCCTTTCGGGTTTTTCAAAATACGATTTCTTTTTACAGAGTTACTCAGAGAAAATCAGCTATTGTGTCTACAACTATTAACCTTCTTCTCGTTCACATTTAGAGAATCGCCATGAAAATTCTGTACTGTATATTTCGCCCATTACAAACAGTTTTCATCATCGTGTAATCACAAGAGAATTTATTAGTCAATATCTACTTTTTAGATAGGATCTTTTGAAGTACACACATACACATACACACTGAGGACGCTTACCGTGTTCATTCGATTGTCGTTCATACGTTTCAGATAATGACTTTATTTCATTCTTCAATACATCACGTTCTAAAATAATAAGATGAACACTTAATACTAATCTAACTTTACAAGTAGATTAGAAATAGAATTCTTAAGCAAAATTTCTATATAAAGTAGAACTGTGAAATATATCAACACCCAAAAGTAGTCTATATTCCCTCACGCTTATGCACTGTTCTATCTTTTCGTCTATCAAATGTGCGAAAAATGATCAATTAAACACTTTAACTCAAAAATATATAAAAATGACCCAAGTCAGCTATTGATACCGATAAGCAAGTTGATAAAAAAGAAGAATTCGTACCGGAAGACACCTTGATTAATGTTTGACTTTGTTCATCACATTTTTCATTTAAAATCTGATTTTTTTTCATTAACTCGTCAATTTGAGACTAAATAAAAAATATATTTATTCATTACATAGCAATAGAATTGACAACAAAAAAACATACTTTAAGTGACTGAATCGTTTTTGCTGTTGTTATGTCTTGATTTTCAGCTTGACGTGTTGTACGTTGTAAATCACTTTGAAGCTAAAGAACACAGAACATACGTAGAAACCAAGTATTTCACATAATTAAAAATCAAACAAATATACCTGTTCTACTCTCTGAATTTTTTCTCGTAATTGTCGATCAATATTTAACAATGATGTATTTTTTTCTTCCAATGATATATCTAATGAACGAGTCTATTATAGACGAAAAATAAATGAATAAAATAATTAATAACTAAATATATAAATCAAAGTTACCTGTGCTTGAAACTTTGAATCAACTGATTCTAATTGGCAGGTTAATTGCATTATTTTCGTCTGTTGTTCAATTGATTGTCGTTTTGCTTCTACCAATGTTTGTTCTAATTGTTGAATTTGTGTTTGATATAATTGACGTTCCTTGTCCCAAATTAACTCTCGATTCTAATAACAAACAAGATTTAACTAATTATATCTGTCAGGATAGAGAATGAATGAATTCAAATTCAAATTAATTAATTTTGTGTACTTTTACTTATAAGAATATTAGTCGACCAACAAAATCTCGTAAAAATATTGTCCATCTAATAGTCTGATAGTTACCTCTAATTGTGAACTAGCACTTTCCAATTCTTGTAATTTTGTTATTGTTGTAAAATTTGCATTATGTACTTGACGATTTTCTTCTTCTAACAAATCTCGTTGTTCTGTTTTGTGAAAAAACAAAAAGTACTTTAATATCCGATTATTAAATACCAACAATATCAACATACTTTGTAATTCAAAAAATGCTTTCTCTTGTTCGTTAATGACATTAGATAGACGATCTTTTTCTTGTTCAATTTGACGAAATTGTTCAACAGAATTATCCTAGAGATATATTAATAAGATTTGATATTCTTACACATATATACGCCTCGCATATCAACTGTTAGACTCACTAATTTTGTTTTGAGTGCCAATTCAGTTTGTTGCACTGTAGATAAATTATTCTCCAGATTTGTGCATTTTTGTTCTAAATGAAATGAAAAAAAAAATGTAATTAATCATTTTTGTTAGAGATAAGTAGGACAGCCTATGAAAGAAATAATCAATGATTAAAGTCTTAGAGCATAGATGAAAATCAACATTCGTTTTTCCAATGTGGAAACAGAACAACCATCATCAAGAACGACTAATATAAAATACATACGAAATTCATCATTTTGTTGTCGCAATTGATTTTCAATTTCATCATGTTTAACAACCTTATCTCTTACACGTTCATAATCAACCGTTAAATCATGAAATCGTTGTTCTAAATGAATAATAGATAAAAATAAATAGCAAACAGAAGAAATTATAAACATGACTATTATTCTATATGCACTTGAGGTTTTCTCGATAGAATAAAAATATTGCTTTTTTGTTACATGCTAAAAGTTCAGGCACGTAATCAAAATAACAACAAAATTTAACAAAATACAACTTTAAATTTGAGCAAAAAAAAATGGAAGAGGAATTTGTTTGTTTAAATACTAATAAGAAATAGATAAACAGAAGTCATAAAAGAAAAACTGTAAAAAGGAAAAACAACCAACTCCTTAACAAAAACCAATTTCATGTCTTAGAATATTTAAAATCAATTGAATTCTTATAATTAAAACTTTATTATCCCTAATACCATTGTTTATTATCGTTGTTATTCTTCAATAGATCTTTTTAGATGTCACCAAACGATATGTTTCGCACAATTTTTTGTTGTTCGAAAATATATAATATTTGATTTAAATGTACATCGATTGCTGTCATTGGATAACATGTTACTCCGCAGTGCGGATAGCGCACATTTCTACATATTTGCATACTGTATCTTGTCCTGAAGATGTACTAATTGCATGCGATAATAACAATTAATTCAGAAGGCTATACGTAGAGAATAATTATTATTGATAAATATAATAAGCTAACATCAATTTTAGCCTTCATTTGTGTTGTTTGTATTAACAACGAAAGTAAACAATAAGTTGATAATAAGGGAATAAAGGATAATGAAGTATATATGGATCGTCTTCAATAATGATTGTTTGTTAATGTTAATTTTTGCTGATCAAAATCGATCGGTAGAGCTATTACTCGATAGATAACTTCACTTGAAACAAAAGTCCGATGCAGAAGAGTCTAATCGCCTTGTTCAACACGCAAATTCAAGAGTGAACGAATATCATTTAACGAAATAATAACAGAAGTTGTTTTTTTATAGAATAAATAGATTAATGAATAACAATGATCGATATTACTCGTTGTTTAGCTAAATAGAAAATAAAAATTAGTATTAGAAATTGCAAAAGCCTGAACTATAGTATGTAAGCAAAACAGACAACTTTCATGCAAAAGCGTGAGGAGTGTGAGACAGTTAAACACAGATATGATCGGGGAAGTTATTATACGAAAAAAACATAGTAGAAACACTTACCTAAATGATTATCATTGAAACAAACAGTTTTCATAATAATTAATTTCGGTTGATTTTGATCACACCATTTGGATTTGTTAAATTTGTGTTAAATTATCTTTGGTTTTATTAACTCTTGCACGTATTTGTATCAATTAAGCAACACAAAGGAAAAGAGATGGAAGAAGAGAAAACATGTAACCACAAGTGCATATAGACAAAAATAACCAACGCATGATCATGAAAAAAAAGAATGCGAAATATAATCAAAAGTGTTTCAGATACTAATTATGAACAATGACCTAGGAAAAGTCAAGATGTCTAGTTTGATTCGAATCAAACATAGAATCCACTTGCTAATCACTCTGCTCTCTCTCTTGAAAATTATTCGCTTATTGTTGATGAATCCTTCTCCTATAAGTTATACCTGTTGATACTTTAAATGCTGCATAATCGTCACTGATTGATCGTTTTTGCTCTTTTAAGTTATTAATGTAATCTGTTAACAGTTTGCTGGAATCTTCTGAAAGACCTTCGATTTGTGAAACATTAAAATCGTCCGATTCCATGGATTTTAAATAAATCTGAAATTGAACTAATATTTTATAACAGAAATATAATAACAGTCAGCTTTTAGCAGACAACAAGCAACATAATAGTAGACTATGCTCTTTATTAAAGAAATCCAGCTAAACGCAATTTTCCGTTATTTTTCCTCAGTCGCCAAAGAAAGTCTTGATAAAATAGCAGTAAACGCAGAGGAATAAACGAAGAAAAACTGGAGTTCGAAAGAAACTATTGCAAGAACCCACGAATATCCTGCTAACATTTATTTCTACTACAAGATACTATTTAATTAGTGGAATATACGTCCGTTGTGCAGCCTGCATATTATGTTTGCAGTTGAGATAATCTAAACTCAAAAATTAAATGCAAGACACTACAACACGCTTAGTTTTTGTGTCTAATTCATCTTAGCCTCTGCTTTTCGAATGTTTCCAACAAAGCCTACAGTACCACCACAGCGGTAAAATCTGGCTCTTGTTGATGCATAACGAATCATAAAGAGCGGGAGAGATGGCAGTAAAATTTATATATTGGGAGTGAACGGTTTCCGAATTGAAGATGAGACGAGAGCTACTTTAGTACCGAAGTCTATTGAACAGTTTATTTGCTTTTTCTGCTCTCTTGAATCAGAAAAAACTACTTTTAATCTTAGAGAAATGTTCTGTGGTGCCCCAAGGCCCAGAGTATACCTGTTTGCTCCCACGTCAAGTACGAACTTGATTTGACATTTGGGGTAGAATGCATGCATGCAGGCCAGAACCTAATGTCATATTTGGGGTAGGGGCAGATACCTCCGCTATCGGAGTGAAATTCCGTGACGAAATTTTGACATCTTCCTGTGTTTATATTTTTTTAATGAAAGCAGATGCAGTGCTGTGGAACGTGTAGAATTGTAAAGCAAACGTTTCTCGACAAAATGAGACGGCTCGGAGCTCTATATGTTTCTTTGTTTAAACAATAAACGGTAGATACTAAATGCTACTTTCCCAAAATGAAGCTTCAGAAGAACGTTTTGTATTTTCCTTTTATTTTTTAAACAAAGAAACGCACAAGGCCTCAAGGCGTCTCATTTTGTCCAAAAACGTTTGTTTTACAATTCTACACATTCCGCAGCACTATATGAACTTTCGTTAAAATAATATAAACACAGCAAAATGTCAAAATTTCGTCACAGAATTTCACACTGGTTACAGAGTTATTTGGCCGTGCCGATTAGAACAACGGATGCTCGAAGCTATACAAGATTTTCCACAATATGAGATTTATTCTTACACTCAAATAACTCAATTTATTAATGGCGTACTATTGGTATAACCATGTATATTTATACTTTTTGCTCTCTCTCGCTTTCTCTGACTTATTTTTATAATCTCGTGGCACTGTTTGTTTTTCGAAAGAGCTTCAAAAAACTGTTGATAATCTATTTAAGAGGAAATAAAAATAGGAAATAGGAATAGGAAATCCATTTTTCACTATTTGCGCCGAAAATTACTAAATTCATCACTCAGAAAATTCATCATTCTACTACAGAATACGGTCAAGCAGATAAAATCAAGTATAAAGGGTGTTCTAGAAGCTCTGAAGTAATTTTAAAATGCATCATTCTAAAATTACTTCAGAACTTCTAGAACACCCTTTATATGTTAATATTTTGAATCAGTTTGGACCAATGTTGACTGCAGTCAACATGCAGTCACTCATGGGTGATACATTTTTAGTGCAAACAGTGGAAAATAGATTATTTCGTCTCGTACACCCAGGTCGAACGATACGGTCCGTATACGGCCGTTTACGGTTACTTTACGACGCATAAACGAACCGTATACGGTCCTAATATTGGGAACAGTAATACGGCCCTATCATAATGAGATTACAGCATGTATACGGCCGTATACTGTGAAAATACGACGTCGTATACGGTGCCGTATTACTGTTCCCAATATTCGGAGAAAATACGGTCCGTTTACGATGCCGTATGAAGCAAATTTACGGTGAAAATACGGATAGTCGTTTTGACCGACCTGGGCAGGTTCACTAGTTTTCTGAAGCTTTTTCGAAAAGCAAACATTGCCATGAAATTCGGCGTGGCCGATATACTATGTCCCGTGTGTTTTGGAAGATTCCGAACGTTGAAGCTCAGCCAATAGGTAGGATCTCAAACAAATCTTATAGCATCCTAACTGTAATAGATGGAACCTTGGAACTTCCGTAGTTTTGCAGAGAGAGAAGTCTGGTGGTTCAAATCACCTCTTAGAAGCCAAAACCCATCCGGTTTTCTTAGCATGGGGATCTCCCAGATTTTCACTCAGAAGGTACACCGTGGTGGATGTTTCGCGAAAATCCGATTTTTTCATAGAAACATGCCCGAAACTATCCTTTATTTAATACAGAAAACCGAAGCTCTCTAGCTCTTTCTGTTCAAAAGTTCATCCGCGGCCATTCTACTTTGAAATGGATAGTAGTATACAAAAATTCAATACTCGCTCTTCACTTTTAGATTTACTCAACTGATATTATGGTATTTTCACGATATTCAAGTTGTCGTAAAAAAATGGCGAGAATATCGTGAAATGTGAACATCGTAAAACGGTGTGGCACGCGTGAAAAACGTATTCCAGTTGTGACAACGCGTGAATTGTTTATGGAAACTTTTCGCGTCATATTTTTCGCACGTGATCTTGATTGAAAGTCATAAGTGTGTAGTGGCTACGCGTAAATTTCTCACGTTAAAATTTCCGTAGAAAAATTTCACTTGCGACAGGCAAATTTAACGTATCATCTATATCGTCTGTGTAAAAATGGCACATAGTCAACCCATGTTCATGTAGAAAATGGTATTGTTGTTGAAGAATTAACATGTTGTCTTAGATAACTTTTTGTCTCCTTTATTCATAAACAGAAATTCAACAAAACAAATAGTAATCTGGATGGGAAATGCCTATCCTATGTATGGATTTCTGTCAGAGTTCGATAGTCATTTGAACAGAGTATTTAGCTCTGGAATATCGCCCCCAGTCGTAGCTATGCCACATAAAACAGAATGTTGATACACTGTAGTATTTAGAATCAGAAACAGGTTTTGGAAAATGTGTGCCTACGTTAACTAACAGTTGCAGCGGTTTCAATGATTAGACCGCTTTCTGATGCGTAGCTTTATCCATCTAAAAGAATGATGTTTGGAGACAAAATCCTACGCACGTCCTGTCTATTTTCTACTAGAACCTACAGGATCCTGACATTTAAGATCCACCTAATAACTTTCTAGCAGGATCTTACTGGAATTTCGCTTAAGTTTGTTTAGAATCCTAACAGAACCTTAGAAAATCCCATGATTTTCGGGTATACCTGATATCATTAGGATTCTGTAGTATTTTGTTAGGATCCTAAGAAATTAAAGCGAAATCCTATTACGATACTCGTAAAATGTCTCGGATCTCGTCAGGAAACTCATAGGACTTGTACTAGGCTAGCATGATTAGGTGGACGAGTTGCACATTCTGATGAGACTTTTTGGTTACTATTCTTCTATACTACTACTATTTCTATCAATATTCAGTTCTTCAGTTTTTTTCATAATCTCCACTTGTTTTAAATGAGCATTACTAATCTGATTCCATTCAATATTTAGATCTTTAAACAAACCCAGCCAAAATAAGTTATGATTGTACATAGTTATCGCTATACTACTATCAATTTCAAAGACGGTGACTGTGAATAAGTTTTGAACCATGACAACTATCCTAGACAAGAATGTTTTGCTAAAACTGATAGGATTCTTATAAGAATCTTACCAGTTTCTTATATAAGATTGTTTAAGATTTCCCATCGACAGTCGTAAGTGTCTTATAAGAATCTTATAAGATTTTCATAAGA